GTCTCGGTCCCTGTGTTTTCTCCAGGCTCTTGGTAGCTTGTGCATTTTCTTCGAAAGGCTGTTCTCCATAGAGGTAGGAGACAAAACCTTTAAAAGGTGGAGCAGAAGATTTCTTACTGTTTGTCGGTGGAGCACGAGACTTTATTACAGCCGCAATTGTGAAAAATTTACGCTTTGAGGAAAATCTCTGTCTCCTACGTACTTGAGTGTCTTTAACAATCTGACATCTAACATCCCGAGCAGATTGTTCTCTAGGATAAGTCCTGTTATACCATTTTTTTTTTCATTACTAAAGTTAAGAGAAGAACCGCACATTTCATATTTTTTAATTAAAAAGTTGACAATTTTTAAAAATCCTCAAGTGCTTACACAATATTTAGAATTAATTTGGCAGAATAGGGACTTAAATATTATAGTACTTATTTTATAGGCAGGTATCCAGAGGTAGCACAAAAACCTCTGGGAAACCTCGTTTTGTTATCCATTTTCAGTGAAAATCCATGGGTTAGAAATAACCGAGATCTGCCCATGTTATTATATGCACCTGTTTTTAAAAATTCACATCAAGTCTACTGGGAACGTGACTTAAATAGTATACAGAGGGGTGTCCCTGGCGGTGATTTAGAAGTTCTGCAATCAGATTGTATTCGGCCAAATTGATACTAGCTAAAATTATTTTCATGCTGTTGATGCTGAAAAGATTTAAAGTTTGTCAGCCAGTTAAACCTGCATAAAATGTTTATATCACAAGTGTGAAATCATTTTTCCTGCTTTTTTTTTTTTGAGGTGGTTTAATCGTTGTAACCAAAAGACTTAGAAAATTTGCTAGTACGTAAGAGAGAAAAATAGCATTTAATGAGATTTTCTGTTGTTATTCTTCTCCATTATCTTGCTGCTTTCCCACGTAGAGCCCCCCCATAGAAGGTTGATAAACCTTTTTTTTTTTAAAGTGGTGATTACTTCTTTCCTTCAGTATGAAAAGTTCCCCCCTTTAGTTAATTATCATGGTGATGGGGCTGGGGGTGGTGATGGTGATGGTGGTGGTGGTGGTGGGTTGCATGTTAGCATGAATGAAAATTTCTTAATTGCATGTTTCCTCAATCGTTTATTGTATAATGCTTTGTATCATTTAATAAATATGGATATAGTCATAACATACCGCCCAGTTAATTAGCAGGCTGTAGGCACTCATATGAACGTCAGGGGATATTCATTATAGAACTAAGGAGGAAAGAATTTGCTGGTTGTACCACCTCAATGTAAAGAGTAAAAGAAAAGCAGAGGAATTAACAGTGTAACTCGACGAGCAGGAGCAGACAGCGTGGGGAAGGGAAATGCACACAGTGTGTCTGTCGACCATTAAGGGTTTTCACTAGTTGGGGCTCTGCAGGGAACCCCTGTCTTCCCTGCCGCGGATCTGCACGCCCTCGGTGACTAGGGGATTCAACAGTCCCCTCGGCGAAGTGTAAAGGGGTCTGTCCCCTCCCAGGGGAAAGGAGCTGTGTCCTGTAAATCTTCTCCCCGGCCCGGCTCAGTGCTTACTGAGGGGAGTTCTCGGAAAGGTATTATTTCCCTTGTTCCTAAGGGCAGAGCGGCGGCCGCCTAATGATACCAAATCGGTCGACTTGCTCCCTCCCAGCCTTTTAAGCAGTCGTATGTTGGATATGAAAGCAAAGTAACTCAATAGTTCATCTTCACGACCAGCGTCTATGGGTTTAGAGGATGATAAGCCTTGTAAGAGGCTTCGCAAAGTGATGGGTACCGAGTCCTGGTGCAGATTTGTGACGTTGGTCCTCCGCGAACTTGATGATATGTGACTTGACTACTAGTCTGCATCTGCATCGATGTGTGGCCCTCAGAGCGTGGCCACTTTACCAAGCTAACCAGCACCTGGGTGAACGCCCAGTAAAACTCCAGGTTTTCCCCTGGGCTTCTCTCTGGTTGCCAGAGTTGGAGAAGAGACAGGACTGGTTTATTTGATACTGAAACTGTTGTTTAAAATACCCGATTTCTAAGACTTAGTTCTTCACGTAGAAATTTTAGTAGAGCCTCGCGTTCCAAAAGTGTAGTCCTAGTTGGCAGTCTGCTTCTGTGTGGCATTTCCTTTTAAAACGAACGAACGAACGAACAAAATAAGTTTGTGGAAGTAGTTAGCTGGAAACGCGCTGTTCAGATGACATCTCCGTAAAAACTTCATCAGGAAAGTGTTTTTCGGCCCAAAACCAAGGCACAGGATTTGCAAATCGATTCACATTAGGGGTCAGTTCGCCAGACGTTTAGTGGGCACCGCACTGTTTTAGAAGAACGAGACTGTGTCGCACGCGGCCTCGCTCCAGCCCCTGCCCGGAGCACGCGCTCCTCCGCTCCTGCCGGAAGAAGCGCCGCGGTCCCATCGCGTTGCCTGGTCTCTTTACTGAGACCATTTACGGCTGGAAACGCTGAGTCCCGTGAGAAATACTTTCTGCTTTATGTTCCAGTCGGTCCTGCAACTTTGACAATTAACTTGTTAACACAGTGTGTTTTAAGAAAAGGACTTAAATCTGGTGTTGGGTTGGTAAATTTGCAGTTTTTTGTGGACTTCTTAAACATCCTAAGTGTCGTTTACCTGTCCTGGAAATTCTGTTTGTACAGACCAAAATCTGCACCTTCGTCGCAGCCCAGTGCCAACGGCGTCCAGACAGAGGGGCTAGACTACGACAGGCTGAAGCAGGTAGGCACGCTCATTGGCAGCTGCCTCTGGTGCACTGGTTTCTTTCTAGAACTGTCTCGTGTGCATGTGTTCGACAGAGCGTGAACGCACTTGAAAAGAATGTAGAGTTAAGGGGTGCCTGGGTGGCTCAGTCGGTTGAGAGTCTGACTCTTGATCTCGGTTCAGGCCGTGATCTCACAGTTCGTGAGTTCAAGTCCTGTGTCTGGCTCCACGCTGACCACACTGAGCCTGTTTGGGATTCATTCTCTCCCTCTCCCTGTCTCTCC